TATTATGATCACATTGTTCCTTTCCCCTCACTTTGGCTACTTTGCTGTTCTCAATTAATTTAAAAGCTTTCCTTGCCAGGTTGTTCTTTGCCTGAATGCATACTTCTTGATTTTCAGCATCCATTTCCTTCACAAACAGGCCATTCACTGAGAGCTGTAGTCCATAAACTTCTTGGGACTACACATCTATTTCAGTTCAATCTCTTGACTGACATTTTATAGCATAATATGACTGCATATGCCAATGGAAGATCACTTGCTGTTTTTCACAAGCTTCAGTAAGTTGATGAATTACTGACTGTAAATAAAGGTTACTCGCCTCTCTCAGTTTTAGACTTTGTTTTCAGTTGCTTTTAACTTGCTGGACTTAGGAAATAATATTTTACACTTCAAGTGCATCCAGGAGTTGATCTAGGAAAATTCATACGTGTCAAATTAATCTCACCACTCTTTTATTTGGGAAGGCCTGATTTTTCACTTGCACAGTCTTTCTGACTTGTGCCAGAAAGTACTTACCTTTACTCCATGTTCCTGCCAGCCTCGAGAAAACCCACACAGATCAAAATGTCAGTCTGCATGTGTCCCAAAATTGCAAGGAAGGACTTTTAACGCACGACTCCATCTGCTTCCAGTGACCCTGCTGCAGCATCACAGAGGGCTAATGAGTGACTACATTTACCTTCCCCACTGATCATGTGTGATTTCTTCAGCCTTAAGTATATAGATTTACGATTAAGGTCAAGTCAAATTCACACCTTTTTTGTAGTTTCTCCTTGTAGTAGCTCCAAGCTGATCACCAAATCAAGGTACCACAGACCCTGAACTGATACAACTGAGCCACTTACCAGCTGAACTGTGATAACTGTCTGCATGCATCTAATCCATTGCAAGTGTAAAATAAAATGTAGTAATTTAAACTACCATGAAGGGGATTGCCAAAACAATTTATTATTCACACCTTGTTTTATGGAAAAAGCAATGTAGAAACTGCTGCTAGAAAAAAAAACTCCTTTTGATGGACAATTTATACACAGAAGAGAAAGATTTTTCTGCCTTCTGTTTGAAGGGAAGTCACTTTTCTGTTCAGTTTCTTAAAACCACCCAGTTGCTGAGGAGGAAGACAGGTCAGTCAAACCTAGAGAACGAGGGAGCAGTATATGGGACCATAGGGGAAAAACTTACAGGAAAAGAGTGGTGGAGTAGAGGATGTGATTGCTTGTGGTCATGAAGATGAAGCTTAGGAACTAGAAAACAGAGAACAGAGGAAGAGTCAGAAAGTGGGGAGAAGTGGGAGATGGAAGCAAGAGTCCATTGCCCTGTATCATGTCCAGCATTGCTGAAAGGTATGTAGATGGGGATATTCTTGAGTATATGGTAGCTTGGTGCTCACTGAGCCAAATGAGAATGGAAAGGAGAGGATGGTGAGGAAAGAGCAGATGTGTCTGCCAAATATGCACCCTGGGATTCAGAGAAAATGTTGGAGGGAAGCCCAGTTTCCATAGTTTTCAAAAGAAGATAAAGTAGCTAGAACAAAGTGAAACAAAAACATCAAGACACTGAGATAAAAAAAAGTGTCTGTCCTCGGCAGAAGAAAACAAGAGGGTAGAGCAGGAGACCGATGAAGCTAATGGGAGATGGTTCAGCAGAAAAATACAGAAACCAGCTATGGGAGAAAGAAAGACTGTGGAATAGGAGACTACCATTAGACAGAACATAAGAGATATAAGAAAACAGTGGCCTGGTAGGAGGGCAGAAAATGATACCAAGACATCTGCAGTAGAAACTGAGAAGTAGTTCTGTAAGAATTTGAATTAGATGATTTGAATAAATTAGAACTTATAGAATAGAATCCTCTTATGGAATAGAGGTTTTAAAAATGATAGATATTTCATAAAATGCAAAGGATGGAGTATAGGTAAAATTGCAACAGAAATCAACGGGAAGCAACAGGGTTAGAAGTGTGCAAAACCACCGGAGCAGCTGAAAAGGAACCAAAATTAATAAGTCTCAACATCTCTTATTTGTACAAAACTGACTTGTGTCTCTTCAGCATACCATACAGAGAAAAATAGCTGTCACCTAATCTGTTATTAAATGAAGATGCTTGAGTTGCTAGAACAAGATGACCCAGATTTTCTATATATGTATGCAACTCTAATATACATTTTAGTGTCATAGGATGGGACTTTTCTTTTTGAAGAATAACTAAATTCAAAAAATATAGACACAAAAAGTTGGAAGAATTATGGGACTGAAAAGTCAAACTCTTACATACTTTATCTTGTCGCTGCTTGTACATTAAGATATGGTGTTCTATGATTTAGGAAGAAATTTTTATTTTCTTAATCTTAACATGACACAGTATTTTTCTGGGAAAACAGAACCTATTCTTAAAAGTGTATGGATCACTGTAAAGTAGTTCAGAAAGAAAAATAAGGCTTTTCCTTTGGAACCACATGCAGGGAATATCTTATCCCCAAGATACTGAGAACAGGACTGACCTATGGATAGTACACATGGCGTTTTATTTTAAAATCAGTTTCATGACTCTGAACTTGGTCAAGAAAATGCAAGTGTAAAATAAGCTTTCCTGCTTTTGAGTGGCTCCTTTGGTTCATAAGGCAAAACTCCTGAGTCAAGCAAAGACTTGAAAGACAGTATTTTGGCACAGAATAAGAAACTAATTTTTAATTAAAGTCATCTGAGATTCACATCAGGGACAATAATCCTTTTATACTTTATGCCAGAAGATCATCTCCATAGAAATCTGACAACTTCAGACATGTCAGTGCAAAGTTGTTGAACTTCTCACACACTGTTAGACAGAGCTCACTAGGAGGTACTGCAGATAACTGTCTTGCCCTCCATTTCTGCTTCCTTTTTTTTTTAAACAACTTTGTCTATGACATTCATGCTGTATGGACACATAAAACAGTGATTTTTAGGAAGTCCTAAAACCCCTTGTTCCAGAAGTACAAGGATCTTTACCAAAAACTTGCATAGTTACAAATTACAGACATTATAACACATTGCAGCGCAACAGCTTTTTTTTTTTTTTTTTTTCCCTCCCAGTCATCTTCAAACTGTAATAAACTAGAGGAGTCTGATAAGAAAATGAGATTAGAACTGTTTTTGCAAGTGCTTTGGGATTTTTAATGGCCAAAAAGTACATAGGACTTCACCTTAACGTGTATGCTAAGCATTTCTTGAAGCACTATGAATAAAATGGGAATAGACAAAATTGATCACCTGAGACACATAAACTCAAGATTTAACACAGTTTGATAATTAGGTGCACTGGGGTAATGTTCCAAAACAGCTGCAAAGCCAGTCACCCTTGCAGGTGTTGAATACCTACGGCTCTTTTTCTCCTTGTGCTTAATTTCCTGTTCAATACTGAATCTATGCTCTGTGCCCTTTCTCTCCAGAATCTCTAGCAAATACCCTCCTACAAAACAAACTTTTTTAGGCTTCTGACTTGTCTAAAAATTTGATAGCAGTAACAGAAGAAAAGAGAAAAATAATATAACCCTCGCCATTTTCAATGTCCTCCAGCAAAATATTTTTCTTTAACAGCTGAATCCGGTTTTCATCCTTAGTCATTATCTTGCCCTTCCTGATGTACCTAACATACCAGACGTAAAATTTTTGTCTGATAACATTAATTTAGTTGCTGGAACAAATACTGTTTCTTTTCATGTGAGCTGTTCTAGCTTGCCTTGCTCTCTGGAGTTTTGACTTCTGTTGCATACAGTGCAGATTTTATCCCAGTTTTTATTGTATTTGTATAGGCTGTGTCTTCAAAGAGTATGACTTGCTTTTCCCCGTTTGTTTTGGGGGCATATTTACTCAGAAGTTGCTTGGACTCCTTTGCAATATGATGAAATTGATGAAGTCATTCTTTAGCTCTATGAGAGAATCTAGATTTTAAACAGCTAACAGAGCATGATTGGTTAAGATACAATAAGAACTTGTAAACACATTTAATGCTTTCAAACTAATTTACACTTTTCTAACTTATGGTCTTGCTTTGTTTGTTTGTTTGTTTGTTTGTTTTAGAGGCTATAAAACTTATGGAATATTGAATACTTATACATTGGTGTATTAGGTCTGGCTGAGACGGAATTCATTTTCCAATAACAAGCTTCACAGTGCAGTGCTGTGCATTGGTAAATAGAAAGATGTTGATAACACATCAGTGTTTTGGCTACTGTTGAACAGCTCTGGTACAGCATCAACTCTGTGTCTCCAACATTTCCCAAGATCCTGAGGGGGAACACAACTATTCCAATTAAATTAACAGAAAGGATAGATCATGCCATATATCAGCCCAGACAGAAAAGCTAAGGAAAGGAGGATGAATCGAGGACATTCCCTATTTACAGTGTTTTCCTTCCTGACCAACCTCTCTGCCTGTTGAAGTCCTGCTTCCTGGGAAGTGGCTGAACATCCCTTGCTGATGGGAAGTAGAGAATAAACTTTTGTTTTGTTTTGTTTTCTCTTTTCTTATGCATGCACAAAGTTTTTTTTCCTTTAGTAAACTGCCTTATCAAGTGTTTTCTGCCATATTTTCTCTCCCCCATCCAGCTGGGAAGAGGAGTGATAGAGTGGCTTGGTGGGCATGTGGCATGTCTCCAAGGTCAACCCACCACAGTCCTTTTTAGTACCCAGGGAGTGAAACAAAGGCAGTTCTATCTATCTATCTATCTATCTATCTATCTATCTATCTATCTATCTATCTATCTTTCTTTCTATATATCTACCTATCTGTCTGTCTATCTTGCATGCTATAGTAATAGCAGTTATCGAGTAGCAAGCTCCTTTGTGGGACATGAGGTTTGTCAGCTGCACTCCTTATCTCTTTGTTTTGCTGAGTTTGCAGGGAGCATGTTAGCACGAACAACAGCTCTGTGCTTTGCCCTGACACTGCAGCCTTGTTATGTGGGGGAAGCTATCTTCTGTGGATGATGAGGAAATGCATTTCACTCTCCCTACCCAAGATTGATGTGAATGGGTTTATAATGCAGGCTCCCATGGTCGTTGCTGATCCTTATTTAAGCTGCTTAATACTGTTAATAGTATTAATGAACACTGTTGGCGCACTATGGGATTTGTGGGATCTGATGTCTTCCTTTGTAAGAGAAAACAAACTTTAAGTATGGAAATATTGAAATCTGCCCTGAGGCATCCATTTCCTGGCTGGCAGTGTGTGTGGTAGGATTTGGGCAGGTTCCTAGGATGGTTATGACCTCCAGTTACCTGCGACTTTACACCTGAACATGTGACCAACACTGGCAAACTGACCCATCAAAGATGGAAGGGTGCCTTGCCCACCCCAGAGAAAGCCAGCAGCTTCTTGCCCTGTGCTAGGTCTTGACCCGTGCCTGCCAAGCCACTGTTCAGTCCTTGCAGAGGACGATAATTGAGGTAGGAACCCAAACTGCATTTGAGAACACTAGGGCTGAGACAGGGACTCAAACCACAGCAACTACAGTACTTGTACCAGTAGTGGAAACAACATAATGGATAAAGCAAGCTACAGATCCATATTATTGATAAGAAATGGAGAAAGAGGATGAAGGAGGAGGAGAAGGAGAACAATCAGGAGAGGAGAGGTCAGATGAAAAAGCTTGTCCTTCAACAAAGAAATTTGAACGAGTGGGACAAATCAAACAGGAACCTGAAGTTAACACGTTCCTTGACCTCATCAGAACTTTGAGACATGCGGAAAGACTACAGGTGCCAGCCAGGTGATGCTGGGATAACAGGGCTGACAGTTAACAATTGGAAGGTCATGAAGCCACAACAGCTAACATCCCTTGCTAGAGATGGGGAAATTGAAGGAAGAATTGGAAAAGAAGGAGCAATTTGCAGTCTCTGGAGATGTCTTCTCTAAAGTATGAGGGCACGATATCTATTTAAGGAAGATCTTGTGAATTTCCCAGGAAAATGGATCACAGCAGACAAAGGTATCCAGTAATGAGAGAATAAATGGTCTGGAAATGGTCTATAGTAAAGTAAAAAGTGATAATGTCCTTGTCTAGGTTTAGGGACAAATTTCAGGAGAAAATGTCCTGGAATGAGCATTTCCTCTAAAGAGAACGGTTTTGATAACCCTGTTTGCCAATGAGAAAAATGAATCCTAGTGGATGAAAGTGAAAAAAAATCCCAACTGTTTATTAACAAATTTAAAAAACCCAAAAGGGTGCCCACAAGGCCAGAAAAAGATTGGATAAATGCTAGATATTGAAATTTCAAAAACTTAACCCTGACCTCCTACCAAACAGCATAGGTGTGAAGCAAAGATGGAGGCTGCCCTTCTTTGTCTCAGGGAAGGGAAGGAACAGGAGTTAGTGTAGCTGCTCAGGCAGAATAGATGGGAATCTTTCTAATGTTAGACTCTTCCTTACAGTAGGAGAAGCTGGTAGGTTTTAGTGTCCTTGCTCATGTTAATTCAGTTTCTTTGAGGTCGTGAGTTTGGGGTGGCGTCTTCTCACCAGCTCCCCAAATGGGCTGGAAAAAACAAAAGGTGTCAAAAGAAAAAAAGAGAAAAAAGCCAGGGAGGCAAGGGAAAAAAAAACAAAAAACAAAACAAAACAAAAAAAGAAAGCAGCTGTTTCTGGGCATAAGCAGACAATTACAAGATAAAGAATCACCATAAAATCACCCCAAGATAGTTCCTAAAGATCCAGAGGATACTCCTTGCGCAATGGTCATATGGAGGAAGGTGGCTCAAATTGCCCAAGAAGTCCCATCATATAACAAGTTATCCCAAAGCAAAAGAGGCCATGCCCTATTTTCTGATGGATCTTTCTCCATGGTAGGAAACCATTGGAGGTGGAAAGCTGCCGTGTGGAGTCCTACACAACCACTGCTGAAGAAAAAGAAGAGTCAAGCCTATTTTCAGAAGTGAAAGCCATACAACTAGCCCTAGATATTGCTGTATTCTATCTCTGCACGGACTCTTGGATGGTGGCTAATGTCCTACGGTCGTGGCTGCAGCAATGGAAGAAGACTAACTGGCAACACAGGGGCAAACCCATCTGGGCTGCGGTACTGGGGCAGGACATCGCTGCACAGGTGGAAAATAGGACTGTGAACATAAGTCATGTAGATGCACACATGCCCAAAAGTCATGCCACTGAAGAACACCAGAACATTCTGGGACATAGCTCATGCTTTTCTGTGGGCATGAACCAGCTGAATCAACTCATAAATGTGACCCTGGGAGGACTTAGGCAGTTTGTTGGGGCAAGGCGTCAGCAAGAATAGCAGAGAGACTAAAATGTAGGGGTATTAGCTGTAGATGGGCATTTGGACTTTCAAACAGTGATTTCAGGGTTAAAAAACGTAAACATGGACATTATAAAATGGCTTAGGATTCAATATTCCAGTGAACACATTATGTGGATAAACCATCGAGAGACAATTATTTTTCTCGTGTAGTTGCAAATACATAATCAGTAAAAACCACTTGAGTCTCCTAGGAGTGTTTTTGAAATAAAAAAAAAAAAACAAAACCTCTCACTGAAGACTGTTAATATATCCAAATGATTCCACAATCATATAAAAAACTGCTCAGCAATGTGATTAAAGGCTTTCTGTGTGGTTGCAATAGAGTATGGTTTGTATGTTTTTCAACAGAATATTGACTTCACTGGGGTTATTTTCATAGGCTACCACCAGGGAAAAGGATTCCGACTTCAGTCTTTGTTAGTAATGGTTTTGATCCTTTGTTAGAGAAGGAATGTATCAGACTCATGAATAAATAAATATCTATATTTTTTTTAAAAATGAAGATTCTATTAAAAAAAAGTGAAACAAACAACAGTAGTAATAGTTTTAAGCAAAAAATAACAGTGATTTGACAAGAGATAAACAGTCACTGTTGTATGTTAAATTTTTGCATATGATTACAACTAGCATGTTTACTGTATATTTTGAGAATATAAGTATTGAGCCAAAATACACATAATTAATAAACATGGATTAAAAAAGTCCAAATTGAATTTGTAATTAAATATGAATGAATTTGTATGCACTTGGTAGACATTAATGTCATTTTCCTGTTCTGTCATAGTCCTATTTGATAAGCATTAATATTTAAAGATTGATGACATGCATTATGTCTTCAATATTTCTTATGAAAATCTGGGGATAAAAATGTTTTCTGAAGTCAGGCCCAGCACAAATTGGTACTGGAATTATGTGTTAACAGCTTCCTATGTCTTAGACCATGTCTAAGCTTTAAGGAGCTCCCTTCTCAGTACATGACTCTGGTTCACTTTAATCTTTCTAATGTGGCTGTAAATAGGTTGTCAAAATCAATGTATTACATTTGTACACCAGATGCCTGCTCCTTTTCATCTCATGAAAATAAGGTATAGCAATAAATGAGAGGCTTGCCTGGCAGGGGTTTCCTTGTGCTGAGCACAACCATATTGGTTAGCAATCTTGTCCCCACAGCCTCAGCCAAGACACATGTGCTAATTATTTATCAGATCATTTGTTCTTTGCCAGATGTAGGGAGTAAGTGGTTCTTGTGAAAGGAGCAGTTGTGTCACACACTGAGGTCTAGCTCAAACAGACACAGCATGTAAAACCTTCTTTCTCACTTTTGGAGATATTTTTTTGTGGAAGACCAGTCTAGAGGACCAGACAAAGCACGTTGTCTCAAACTTTCTGAGCATTGCTACAGGAAAGGTGTGATCAGAGGAAAGGATCCTGCAGAGGTGGGGCTGGGCTGTTCTCAGCCAACTTCCTGCTCCACCTTGAGACTAATTTTCAGCTTCCACCTGCCAACTTATTCCCTGGAGAAGTGCTGGCTGTGTATGTGCTAACAAAACTGTGTGAAAAATCTACTTTATGTAAGAGGTGTGCACCAGGTTAACTATAAAAGTCACAGATTGGCCCCTCTCACTCTCTCTGGAGGTGTGGTGTGGTTTGTGAGCCAGCATGTTTTGAGGGGTTTGTTGTAGAAGTTGAGAACTTATTGAAGTGTAGCTTACAAAATTAAGGGTTATCACTCTTGTGGCAGTATATTGTAAGAATTTAAGGGCTTATGAGTCAGAGCTATGGTGATTGTACAATAAAAGCCTGAGAGTTCCCTGGCATGTGTCTTTGTTCAGCCTGGAGGAGAATTTATAGCAAATATGTCTTTTACTAGTGGGTTGTGACATCCAGACACCATGCAGTTCCTTAGTCTTAACACATCATCTCTGAAGTCATGGCAGTGTGTGGTAACTTACATGACCAGCATGATAAGAAGCTGTGAGCACTCAATGTACTTTTCCAGATAATTCACACAAACTAGCATCTCCTCCCAATATTTTTTCAGGCCATCAGTTATCTATTACAGTGACAGACTTGGTATACTTTATATCTTCATACTAAGTTCTTTGCCAGTGCATCCAGCTGCCAGAAGCACTTGGAGTTGTCACAGAGTTATTGAAGGACTAAAAGCTCTCTTACCTAACTGAGCTGCTGCCAGCATCAAGGTCTTGTGCTGTTACTGCCCCTATAATGGTCCCCACGGGTGTATCCTCATAGACTTCCATCGTGTACATGGGCTTGCTGAACACTGGAGGTTCATCCATGTCCAACACATTTATCTTCACAGTGGCAGTATCTTTGAATGGACCCACTGAGTGAAATCGATGGTCAAGATGGAGATTAGAGGCCTCCACCTTAAAGGTGTATGCCTTCTTCGTTTCAAAGTCTAATGGCTGTGGAAAAAGCAAAAGCAAAATATTAGATTTGTCTAAAAATTAGGCATTGCTAAATAACTTTGCTTGGATCAATCTGACAAAACTTAATACGCCTTAAGTGTAAAACTCATCTCCTGAGCTAATCAATCATTTAGGTTTGTTTTGCAGTTCATCTTATGCTAAGGTGGTTTTTGAAATAGGCCAGATGAATCATAGTCAGGAAATTACTGCTTCTCTACATCAAAAAGATCAGGATGACTGGCATGAATGTAAACAGTTACACTGTAGATGTCTGAAGTTAAATGAGTGCGATTCATCTCTTGCAAATGAGCTGAGTGCAGGTTAGTCAGAGATTTGCATTTGCAACTCCCATGCACTGGCAATCAGCTGTCTTTGGCTGATCCAGCTCCTTAAATAGAAGATTTCCCTTTTTTTTTTTTTTTTTTAGCAGGAAAAGCTTTCAGAAGACCATGACAGTGATGAAGACGAGTACAAATGAAAACTCTGATATGTACCAATGAGTCAAACCAAACTTCAGGTATGACTTGGAATGTGAATTCTAACTTGATCTGAAACAAGCTTTTCCTGTAAAATGTCAATCTTAGCAGTGAACTGCTAACCATGCCATATGTTTGAGCTGCATGTACTTTGTGAAAAGCCGACTTTGGCTCTGCCTTATGATCCTAGGTGTAGTTCAAAAGGTCTTGAAGATGACACAGCAGCTTTTGTGTACTTATGTGAGGTTCTGATGGAATGTATCCTGCAATCAGGTTGTTTTGATATGAGTTTCTGTCAACGCATTTCAGTTTAGTGCCTTTACTTCTAGAAAAGCAATCATCTCAAAACCCTTAATGCAGTCTTATTTAGCTGAAAAGATGCAGAAGCTTTATTTTCATTTAAAGGATTTATCTGCATTGGCTTTCATGTTGTTTTAAAGGTTTCTAACAAAGCCTTTTCCTGTTGTCTGGGTAACACTGGCACCTAGTGGTTTCTGCCTATAATTGTTAAGGTGGTAATTTGCTTACAGGAAAGAATATGCTGCCTGGAAAAAAAGAAGAGGTTTACATGTATATGAACAAGAATATTTCAACGTCTGATTTTATGTTGTTGTTTTGTTTATTTTCCCCAATGTTTTCAGTCAGCTGTCACAACCGGACAGATTTAAATTGTTCAGTTTTCAGTCCTTATCACAACAGGACATAACTGGCCAGATGTAAATTGAAATAGGTGTAAACAGGTGTAAATTGAAATAGCTCCATTAAAATCAATTGAGTTACCTTGACTTGCATTAGCTGAACAGCTACCATAATGATTATAAATGCTTATGAAAGACATCATAATTTTAGTAGACTAGATGCTCAGGGTTTGTTTTTGTAGGGTTTTTTTTGTTTGTTTTTTTGTGGGTTTTTTTTGTTTGGTTGGTTGGTTTTGGTTTTGGCTTTGTTTTTTGCTTTTTGGCTTTTTTTTTGTTTTTTGTTTTTTTCTTTAACTGGGGACCTAAAATTAGCCATATAAATCTCAATGCAGTAGAAATAATCAGACTTGAAAGTAATCCATTACCAAACACAACCGTCCTACAAATAAAATTACCAGAAAATCCAGTTGTGCTGCACCTTTGTGTCTGAACTGACAGAAAGAAGAAGAAACTAAGCCTGAGAAGAAACGGACAAAATTAAGTCTTGTGGATCTCATGCCTCGGTGGTGAAATCCAAAGATGTTGCCTTCACTAAAAACAGACACATTAGTCTGTTATTCAAATTGCTGCCACACTGTGTTTTCATTTTCTATGCTACTTGTGCATACTTGCTATGCATTGCCAAAACAATTGTACCCAAAAGAAAAAAAAAATATAACCAACTCTTTTCCAGACATTTATATAAATTGATAACACACTTTCAAAAAATATAAGAAAAGGAGAAATCTGAAGTTTAAGGATTTAGTCTGGTGAAGAAAAAGTCAGGAGTTAAGCTAAAGATAAACGATTAAGACAGAGAAAGCAAGAAATCTAAGCTCCACATAGGTAGTAATTCTGAGTAATACCTTGTACATATCTTTCATACCACCAAAATTGCATTAAAACTTTTCTGATTGGCTGCTGTAATACATCAGTATATTTACGAAGAGATGTATTAATGGAAAAAGCCATAATTCATGCAGTCTTTGCAGGCTGTCTTTAACCAAATTACCCTTCAAGGTACTTATACTAGATCATGGTGCATGGCCAGTGCCCAGTCACATTTCAGGATGCAAGGGGAAGAGAAAGCAGTAAGATTTCAAGCAGTTCTGTCTATTGGTATGTTCAGACTGGTATATTTCACTGCACAAGTACCCAGGAAGCAGACAAAGTGGGTGTATTCCTTCTCTACCCCCCAGCATTATGGAGAAATATAAAGTATATTTTTAAGAAGACAGTGTGATCCCAAGAAGGGATAAGGTTTTTCCACTGTAACCTCAGATCAACTCCTCCTGTCTTTCTGTCCTTCTATGGGTTTGATGATAAATATAGTTAGAGGTTATGCGGCCAGTGGAAAACACAGAAGGTAGTCAAAATAAGAAGAGACAGGCAGAAAATGATGAGCCATCATGAGAGAAAGAAATCATTGACAGACTCCACAAAATAGCAGAAATTAGCCTTTCACCAAAGTGAGGCTAAACTGCAACTGAAATGTATGGAGAGTCGGGAATGTTGCAAGTGGTAAACCTAGGACTTAATTTCAAACAGAAAAAGATTTTGTACAGCATACATCATGTAACAAGAGTATGGCTTTTTTGTCTTTTGTGTATGGGGATTGCATGCTACCATCTCCTGATCAGTTCTGTTTTTCCCATGTTTGAAGAATTGAGTCATATAGATAGTATTGACAGTTTAAGATTTAGGCATTTGTCTGAATTGTCCAGAGTCTGCCTAAAAACAGTAGCGTTGAATGTCTGCATAAGTCCCAGGCAAAATCTTTTGGATTTTTTGATTTTTGGTTTTAAAGATTTTATTATATTTTTAAATTTTAGTACATATCACTAAAATCTGTCAAGGAAAAAGTGGTCCACACAATATTTTACTTGTATTAAAACAAAAAAACAAAAACAAAATTAAACAACAACAACAAAAAAATCAAATCAAACCCAACAAACAAACAAAAACCCTTCAACAAACCAAACCAAAACAAAAATATTACTGTGTTTTGCTGTTATATAATAACTGTCTGAGGGTGCTCAGTCCAATCTTCATTTTGAATCTGGAATGCTGCTAAGAATACAAACAGTAGAATGTTTGAATCGTACCAAAAAACCCCAAACCAGCCTTGAAAGGTTTTTGAAATATCTTTCAATTAAAAATATTTTAATGAAATTACTTAATAGATTTTTTTAATTAAGTAAGAGAAATATTTATTCCTTCTATAAAATAAATTATATGCAGAATATAAGTTTGAATAAGGCTTGTATTTTGCAGAAATTTTGGGGGTTTTGTGCAGTAAACAGCATTTTTGCTAATGTTAAAGTGATGCCTTATTGACTGTGAACTATTCAATAACTGAGTATTTCTGATTGATATCCTAAGTACCAGTGACAGGACAGATGTATTTGCCCCCCTCAACTTGTCCTCATCTGCTTTTTCCTATGTTGAGGTTACAAGCTGCTCTATATAGTTGCCTAGTAAAGTGCTATCAGCATATACACACCTGTGCACAGCAAGGCCATTCTACAAATCCCCAAATCAAATACATACTGACAAATCACTTTACCTTGCAGCTCTCTAAGTACCATGAATGGACTTATTTAGTATGACTAGGACAGCACAAAACCAGCTCTGTATTAGAAATAAACCTATTTTGAAATATTACTGTTTTCCAGATTCAAGGTAGAAGTTAAGAAATGCTGCTATATAGACGCATCTATATCTAAAATTTTATATTAGATAGTGTGAAAGTCAGAAAGAGAATTAAAGAACTGAAAGAAAAAAAATGGTCTGAAAGATACAATAAATTCTAATGATAGGCACAACAAGGGTGGGAAAAGAATTATCCTGTCACTTTGGTCTGCTTCACAAAGAGGTAGAACTGGAAACTCCAGAAATGTCAGGTTTTTATCTACACATAAGAAATAAAAGGGTATTGTTTCTGATAGAGGCTTTCACCTACAATGACGGAAAAGCTATGTTTTGGGATGTGATTTTAAGTCCCAGGACATATGGATAGTTATGGATAGTAGAACTGGGTTGACAGGAAGTGCATAATAACTTTGGCTTGACTTCATACTAGCATTATACAATTGCAGGTTAGTTTTGGGTATATGTGCTGGTCTCAAAAGCCAGAAACACTTTCCCCTTCAAATGAGTTGAGCATCTATGCATTTTGTGAAATATTGGCATAGGATAATTTGCTGTGCATTGACACAGTTTCTGTATGAGTAGTTAAGCTTCAGTAACTGGATTTCTGCATTGGATTCTAAATAGCATAAGGAAATGACTGGTATTACAGAGCAGGTTTAGTAAAGTAAGCTCTAGATCAACCAATAGCATTCATTAGAGTTGAGAAAGCACAGTAAAAAATGAGATCTGTAGTGAGTATTTCAAGATTTTATGAGAAGTGGGAAAAATATATGTCTGTTCTCTATCTGGAGAAGGGGAGAAGCTGACCAGTGTCAGGGGTTCTGTTGTTTGCTGCTCTCAAGCATCTCACCCATTTCTGAAGGTGTCTTTCCCTGTTCCAGGGAAACCCAGACCAAACAGATCTATCCACAAAGACTGAACTTATTCTCTTCCTTGCTTTTCCTGTTGTTCTTTGTGATTGTATCCACACAGAGCTCACCACTTTCTGCCTCTGCTGGAGGACTTAATATCACCTGCTCTTCATCCTCAAAATGCACACCCACTATTCTCCCTCCAACAAGATCATGAGTTATGATTACAGGCAGACAGTGCCTGTTGTGCTCACACTTCCAGAGGAAATTCCATGCCTTTGGAGAAACAATGGGTGGGATGTGATGTGGTGAGCAGTCTGTAACAGTTTTGGTAGTAAAGC